GCACCAGCAGTTCTACTGGAGCTGCCTGAGAAAATCTGGCCAGGGTTCTTGCTCTTGCTGTGTGCACTCAAACTGGCATGATCTAATCCAGAAATATGGCCTCAATATATGACATCAGTGTTTCTGTCAGTATGAGAAAAACATAGGTTTCATCAAGTTGGACTAAGTGATATTCTTCAAATAGATTATCCAAAATATCTACCCAGTGAAAGAAACCATGGTGGCTATTTGTACATAAAAATAAATTTAGGAGCCAGAAGGTGGTGTGGTGGTTAAGGAGCTATACTCCCACATGGCCAACCACAGTTTGAGCCCAGACTTGGTAGCTTGCTTTCTTTTTTATTTATTTATTTTTTAATTTTTTATATACATTCAATCACATTGTTTAGCTTACAAAGTGAACATTTTCAATATGTGAACATTTCTCCCCAGTCCAGTTGATCAAAAATATCTTCAAACGATAACCCCACCCCCCCCCATCCTGTCAATGCTCTGCCTCCATACCGTGGCTTGCTTTCTCACTTCCTCCACCCGTCTCTCTTTCCGGTAAGTACACATGCCCTATAGCAAATTAAATTAATAATAATAATAATAATAATAATTAACTAAATTATTCTTTAAAAATAATATGGATAAAACTACCATTTGCAAGTGTTTTAATGTGACTAGATTAATTGGTTATATTACTCTCCTCTTAAAACTTATTTTTTATTATCTTCACAGATTTGTCATTGAATTATGTAGCTTATTGTTCCTCAATGATATGAAAATACACAAAACCCTGAAAAAATAAATTTAAAAAAAAATGAGCTATTGAGTCACAAGAGACATAGAAGAATCTAAAATGCCTAGTGCTAAGTGAAAGATGCCAGTTTGAAAAGGCTATATAAGACATGCTTTCAACCATCTGACATTCTAAACTACGCTGATAGTTAAAAGATCAGTAGTTGCCAGAAAGGGTGGAAGAGGGAGAGAGGGATGAGTAGGTGGAGCACAGGGTATTCCTAGGGTGGTGAAACTATTCCATGTGCTCCTATAATGATGGGAATATGACATTGCCCCTCTGTCAAAACCAGTAGAACTGTACAACTGTACAACTCAAAGTATGATCAGGAAAGTAAACTATGGACTTCAGTTAATAATAACATATCAATTTGGCTCATCAGTCATAATGAAATGTACTGCACTAGTGCCAGATGTTAATAAGGGAAACTGCAGTGAGGCTGTGGCTGGAGAGAAAGAAGACGTAAGGAACTCTCTATACCACCTGCACCATTTTTCTGTCAACCTGATACCGCCCCCCCCAAAAATCTATTAAAGGTCGGTTGTGTAAATATGCTTTGAACCTTTAAAAGTGATCACCTTGTTTCTCTGTATTATTTTTAGGCTAATCATAATCATAGCAACACCACATATTATCATTTATCTAGCCCTATAATGTGCAAGCACTAAACACTACTTATATACAAGCTCATTTAATCCTCACAAGAGCCTTATGAAAAATTGAGGTCAGGGCACGTACAGGGCCTTGTCAGGGGTCACAAAGTCAGAAAGTAGAAGAATTAGATCTTAAACCAAATTCTATCCGACCTCAAGTCCTACTGTCCATTGTCTTTCCAGTGGGAGGCAACAGGCAGACTTTCTTTCTTACTTCTTTTTCTTCCTTCTTTCTTTCCTTTGTTCTTTCTTTCTTCCTTCTTCTTTGTTTCTTCCTTCCTTTTTAGATCCCAGTATTGTACATTTCTACAGCACTCAGTACAGTTTTTCAACATATGCATGTTACAAATGGCATTCGAATCAAATCAAGGATATTACCACATGCATTATTTTCAACAGAGAGTCCACTTTCTTTTTTCTGTTAGTGTTATTCCCCTCTGCTTCTCCTACCATCCTTTACTATCTACTCCCTTCCCTTATAGTCTCTGGTATGAGACAGCATTTCAGTAAGTAATAGGACAAAGCAAGTCTTGACAATTCCTGAGCTTAGTCATTCACTCACACATCTCTGGAGATAGAAGGTTGAAAGCAAGATAATCAGGAATGAAAAATATATAAAAATATTACAGCAATAGAAGAAAAATGACTAATATTAGAAATAGCTATCTTGAGGAAGGGGGACTAGCTTGCCTACAATATGCTAGACACTTTTCTAAATATGTAACCTAACATTCTCTTGATTAATCCCCTCAACAATCATCTAGGTTAGTATTATTTTTGCCATTATTTTATGGAAACATACTCACATTTGTTGCAAAATTCCTCTAATTCTTACCTGTGTCTTTTATCTTATCTCGGGAAAGTTCATGAACCGTGGCACCGATGTCCTGTCTCAAGATCTTGATGATATTTGTCAGCACAGGCATGCTACGTTTATCCAGATAGGTGAAAAATTCATACTCATCTTTCTTTAAACGAGAAGGTCTGGATTCAATATGGGTCAGGTTTATATCATTCTCCTAGAAGAGAAAATTGGAACTATGAGGGGAAGTCACTGGGACTAACATGGGTCAAAGAAACAAAACCAAAACAAAACATGCAATACAGAAGGTAAAGTCAAGGAATAGGATTTTTTTTTTTTTTTTTTTTGGCTATGGGGTGCGTGCACTTGCCATAAAAACAGAGAGACAGGGAGACAGAAAGTGGGAAATCACCCCCCTAGGGGGGATGGCCACACCACAATCCCTTCTCCTCCATTCTCCTCTCGGGATCTTGGGCATGCACCCACACACACCTGGCATGAGTTTAAGCCACCAGGTCCAGGACTTGAGTCGCGGTCAACTACATGGAAGTCCAGCGACATAGCCATTACACTAACTGCTGGTCCCAAGGAATAGGATTTTTTATAAGAGTGAAATAAAGTCTTTACATTGAAAAAAGTTTATTTTTTTCCTCCTGAAAAAAAAAAAAAAAAAAAAAAAAAAAGAGCTAACTGGTAGGATGAAAGGAATAGTTCAGATGCCATGGAATTCAATCACATGGCACTCTGTTAAAGACCTAAAACTGCCACTGTAAGATTTTGATTTGGTTCAAGTACCTAGGACAATGGTGGACAAAATATTTACATATGAAGACCCCTTTCTCCAATGAAATCCCATAGACTCTCAAAAAAGAAATAATATAGAAGCAACATTGTTCTGCCTGAACATGGTCCACAGAAGTCAGACTTGTTGGCTTCTCATCTAAGTTCTCAATTATATCAGCTTAGAAAACTTGGACAATTCACTTTCACGTGTCTAACTCTGTCTCCCCATCTATAATTTGGTGGTCTTAATGATACTTGCTTCATAAGTTTTGGTGAACATGGGATGAGATGATACATACACACTGTCTGGTACATAGTAAATGCTCAGTGAAAATGATCTAATATAATTGTCATTAACATTTTTATAGGTCTGACCCAATAGACTGATGGTTAAAAGAGTCAGATCCCACACACCCAACTGTGTTTCAAATCCCGGCCCCAGCAGCTTGAAAAGCATACTAGCATGTGTGCCCAAAATTCAAACAGGGTGGATTATGGCATGAAGACCCTGTTGGAGGTGTCTCTCTCTCACTCTCTCTAGCTCTCTTTACATGGAAGAAACAGTGATAGGGACCAGCAGTTAGCATAATGGCTATGTCGCTGAACTCCCACGTAGACGACCACGGTTCGAATACCAGACCTGGTGGCTTAAACTCACGCCGGGTGCGTGTGCGTGTGTGCCCAAGATCCCAAGAGGAGAATGGAGAAGAAAGGATTGCGATGTGGCCATCCCCCTGGGGGGGATGTTATTTCTCACTTTCTATCTCTCTGTCTCTCTCTACCTTTCTGGCCTGCGCACATGCCCTATAGAAAAAAAAAAAAAAAACACCTCTCCAAAAAATAAATAAATAAATAAAAACATTGTCTGACAGCTTAATGAGAATGAAAAAGAGGAAAAACACATACCACAATTTTTACTTTGTTAATAGATTCTCAATGAGTATTCACTATTCTCTGCTTTCTCAACTTAGTATGGATAGCTATATCTCTTGGAGTTAGAACACATTATACTTTATCAGTTATTTTATCCTTAAATATTTGTTTTATCCTAAATTTTTCCAAGCTCTTTTCCTAAAGACATGCTTCAAATAGGAGAAGAAAAGACTACGCGTATTTTGAGATGGGACTAAACTAGAAAGAAAAGCTTCATAGACACAACACGCTGTTGTCTTGGAGTAAGCCTGAAGTTTTCTGGAATCACATCAAAGATATTCAAAAAGAATGTCTCAAGTCATTGGTCTCAAGTAAACAGACAGGAGCTTTCAACAAGTCCTTCTGTTGAACACCTTCTATGTGGTAAACACTGTCCTAGGAGTTGAGGTGTCATCGCTAACAAAGCAGAAAAAAAATCCCTGCCCTCAAGGAGCTTATGTTCTTGAAGAAGGAGACAAGAAGTAACTATGGTAAGTAAGTAAAATAAAATCTTCAGATGGTAGCAGCACAATGAAGAAAAATTAAGCCATTAAGAGGAATAAGCCCTACCACAGGTTCAATAAAGTTACTATTGTAAATGGTGTGAGTCAGGAAGGACTCCAAAAATAAATAGGTGGCATTGAATCATAAACCTAAAGTCAGTGAGAGAGAATACCATGAGGGAACAGCCAGTGCAAGAGTTCTGGGGTATCACAATATGATTTAGGACCACAAAGGAGGCTATTGTGACTGGGGCAGAGTGAGCAAGGGGGAGGTAGTAGGGGTAAAAGACAGAATTAACCAGGAACGGAATAGACTTGAACGTTGGTTTTCACTTAGAATGATATAGTAAGCCATAAGAGGTAATTAAGCAGAAGAAAGATATCATATGATTTATGGGTTTGGGGTTTGTTTGTTTGTTTGTTTTATAGAGATTTTTGCTATAGGGCCTGTGTGCCCACCAGGGAGACAGAGAGACAAAAAGAGAGAAATTACGCCCCCCCAGGGGGTATGCCCACGCTGCAATCCCTTTTCCTCCATTCTCTTCTCAGGAGTTTGGGCGTGCACATACACCTGATGTGAGTTTTAAGCCACTGGGTCTGTCATTCGAACCACAGTTGACTACTTGGGAGTCCAGTGATATAAAAATTATGCCATCTGTTGGTCCCATTGACTCATGGTTTTAAAAGAGCACTCTGGCAGCTATTTTAAGAATAAACTTACTGGCCAAAGGCAGAAATAGTCTGGAGGCTTCTACCATTATTTGGATAGCTACAAAGATTATGGAAGAAGTCAGGCAGGATTTCTGTATTTCAATGATCTCATCTCTGAGAGGTCTAAGAATAGCTCTGTTGCCCAAGGATCTAGACATTAAACCCATTGTGAGTAAGAGGAAACCAAAAATATTCAGAAAAGTAAGAACAGCACAGTAAACTCTATGGAAAGCCCAACGTTATCCCCCCTCCCCAACCCAATACTCTGGAGGAGATGTCCTTGAAGAAGTTCAAGCTGGACTTCAGTGGAGGTCTCAGTCTGAAGACTATCTTTAAGGATCCCACTCTTGGTTCTTCTTGAAGTCTCTTTCATGATCCTGTGGCCTTTTATTCTGTTTTCTCCCTCTTTAGGAGATTATTTATTCCTCACCCTCCTTCCAAGTAGTTGGGGCTGTCTCCAACTCAGAAAAGACCCTTTCCTGGGAAGAGTCAGGGTGGTAGCTGAATCCAAGCTCTGTTCAAGGCTTTAGGAAAAAGAACTTTCCTTTTCTTGTCTTCCTCTTTCTTCAACTTCTCTTGACAGTAGAGTGTTATGATCTAAGGATCAACGAAGCCCTGTGGATGGTTTCTGGCTAGGCTACTGCTGATCAATCACAACTCTTTAAAAATTAAAAACTCCCAATAAAAGAACTCTTAATTGGGAAGCCATTAGGCTTCAATGTCTCCAGCACCTCAGGTTCCTAGGTAAGCAGGCTGAAGCTTAATGTAAACAGAAAAACAAAACTAGAGACAACCAATCAAAAACTGCCAACTTACCCCTAACTAGGAACTTCCTACCAGATCAAACCTAAATAAAGCAAATGTCTAGCTATAACTAATTGAGTAACTTCTTTACTTTGCTTCCATACTCCGCACACACTCTGCTTCCCATAACTGCTTTGCTCTGAACCTCTTCTGATTCTGAGTGCTACCCAAATTATAAACCGTTCTCAGCTCAGATAAGCTCTGTCATATTAATTTGTGCAAGTTTTTCTTTGACCACAACTCATCTGCTGTCAACAAACGGGTCACAGCACTCTGTCTATGCTGCCACAATATAAGATCTGAGTACATAATGCAAATTTTAAAAGTAAGCTCTGTGTTGTTATTTCTCAAATGGACCGAGTTCTGTACTGTGTAGCAGCTAAAAACAGTGTAAAAACAGTGCTAATTTCCTATTTCAGAGTCTTCTACTCAATAAATAAGTCATCAGACCAAAACACAAAATGTTTATTGCAAATTGTTTGCATGAACAGTAGAAACAACCTAAATATCCACCAACAGGAAATAGATGAAATGTAATCACACAATGGGACACAGAGAGGGGAAAATGGAACGAGTGAGAACTATGTATGTCAATACAGACCACTCTCAAAAGCCATGTTCATTTCCTTTCCCCCAAAAAAAGAAAACTGCAGAAAACTGATTCCAGCATTATGAACATAAAATGAATTTAAAACTATGCTATATATCCCTAAAGGCAATTTAGATATAACAAAAATATAAAAAGATGCATAGGAATGGTATATTTCAAAATCAGATTAATAGCTACCTCTCAAGAAGGAGATGGATAGGGAAA